CCATCCGGTCACATGGGTGGCAAGCCACTCCCACAAAGGAGGCCACACCCACAGAGTAGGTTCGAACAATTTTTGAAACCCACCACTGCCCCAGTCCATGGACCAGCACCGGCCCACGGCATGCCAAACTGGGCCACACCAACAAGCAAAACTCCATCTGCAGGATGCAGGCAGCATGCGAAGCCACGCCCCCCTCTCATTTGCCGAAAAACCTCTCTTCACGAAACCGGTCCTTAGTGCCCAAACGGTTGGGGGACACTGGCATATAGACAACAAGGTAGAAAAGGTGAAACTTGTATTTTATTGCATTAAGTGACCCCCCACAACTAAAACTCACAGACTATAAGGCCTGGGACGACTCTAAAACAATAAACTCTTATAATTTCACACAATACATAAGAATATGGAAATAAGATGAGATTATAGTGTCAAAAGTCCTTGTACGTCTTGCAAAAACTCCAAGAAAAATGGATGTGTGTGGTGGAGGTGGGAGGAACTGTTGCATTAATTTGACCTACACAATATTCTTTGTGTCATTTTAAAAAAAAGAGTAATACCTCACCTGTAAAATAAAAATTAGTGAAACATTGATTATAACATCTCATGCTATTCCAGGAATAAGACTCAAATTATATTCAGATGACTGTCCAACTACACATTTAGCATAATAGTTACATTTATAAACTCAATAGCCTCTTTATGCCAGCTATGAAATATTTCCAAATTATACCAAATGTTTACTTATTTTTAGCCAAAATGTCACACAGGTTCATCTGATCCGTAGAAGATTTATTTGCTTTGAATATAGTAGTCAGCTGTGATACTAAACCTTTCAATCCCCTCAAACTGAATGACGCAGAATAGCTCTTGTATTATTTGGCAAATCTAGCCTGACCACAAGCCATAATTGGCAATGTTAATTGTAAATTCTTTCCAATGTTATTGTATGTGAACCAATAACTATACTACGTAAGCAAGCACAGTTTGAATTAGTTGTTGCAACAAGTTAATACAAAGAATATCTATGTAGAAAAATACGTGAATTACATGCCAATGATCCTGGATACCAAACGTAAAGGCAAAAATATGAAAAAAATCTCAAAAGTTTGGATTTTATAAATGTTCGTTTAACTATCTATTAAACGTCTCTCTTGATTTCTGTGCCACAAATATTTAGCCATATAAACTCCGTTACTAAATCAAATTGCTACTGAATGGCCTTGTCACATGTGCAAACTCCAATGCTATAAGCATCCCATAATGCTCTTCTCCCAAAATATTTTTTTCTTTTCAACCAAAACAGGAGGGGATGGTTTTTCTCCCGCTATACGCTATGAGAGCTACAAGAAGAAAGGAAGAAGGGAAGGAGAAATATCTCCCTTGCATACATACATAAAGTTTCACAAAGCAAACTTTTCCTGAGAAATGCACAATGCTACAGTTTGCAAAGAATTCGACCAGACAGGTTTTACATTACTATAAATGCTTATAGGTTGAATAAATAGTGAGCAGAAACAAGAGACACAAAACAGAATTGAGGAAGCCAGGCATAATGGGACCTTCTGAATTTTAATGGCATAAGAGAAGAAATTAAATTGAAGCAAGTATGTGTTTTTCTTACTTCACACCAGTGGTGGGTTTCAAAAATTGTTGGAACCTACTCTGTGGGTGTGTCCTCCTTTGTGGGAGTGGCTTGCCACCCAT